TCGATTCCGGCCCACAAAAATCATTCTTGCACATTTAAAACGATATTTTACATATAATATTAGTCTATAACATGAAATCAAACAGGCCTAGAAAAATCGTCATAATGCGATTGCACGTACGCGTGCTTGTCTGTCTATTAATATTTGTATTTATGTTTATATCGGGATATAACATATACAAATGTACATGTATGACAATTGACAGTCTTCGGAGGTCGTCTCGATGGATAATTAGATGGCGTCTAGTCTAAAATTCACACCAAGTGCTGATACATTATAATGAGTCCATGCTTTGTTTATTGTTTCTTTTTCGACTTTTTGTAAAAACTTTGTCTATGTATGGAAAAGACAAATGGTAATTAAAATGCTATCGTGACAAGTAAAGGTACCACATCACCAGAAAAATACCCTTCTTTGAAAATTGACAAAGAGCACAAAAAATGTCAAAAGATGTGCGAAAAAAAACGGACGAGAACATTTCCGTGCGACCAAATGTCCTTTTGTCATCATTTTCATCAGGTACTCTCGATACCAACATTTTGAAAGCCAAAATCATGAAACGTTGGAGAGCACAAACACCAAAAAGATCTCAACAGAACGACCAAACCGTCTAAGTTAACTTTTCATTCTGTAGACCTATAATGCATGTCTAGTATAAGTCAGTGTACAACATAATTAAATGAAAGTCAAAAATTCAGAATACATATAATTGAAATAATCAACACGATAAAACTAACATCGTTAGATTTGCGACTTAAAAATGTTTTAATCATATGACTGCAAGCTTTAATAACTTGACTTAGATAGTCTAAAAAGTACACAACCACATGTTAGCTATTAAAAAATAACCAATCAAATTTCTATACTAGTAATATTTTGTTCTTATTGATTTTTTTCACTTGCTTTTGATGATGATGATGGATGACTGTTTAACGTCCAGCGGCAAACTAGATTCATATTCAGGATGAGAACCTGTTAATGTAATATGAATAATAACCCTGTTTTGCTCAAGACAGACACGCTGAGACGGATTTTTAACGTGCTAGTTCACAAGATAAAAGTCCGCAGGAATACATGTCACCCTATCCGGACACATTATTCCCAGTCTTTGCTATTACTCCTTAATACCGATTGCTTAGCTGAAAAGCAGCAAATACCAATTTTAATGTCTTTGAACCCACGACCTCCCTCACTCATGCAAATATGATACCATGAGACCACCTATCGGTTCATTTGCTTTTGATGTTGTCGTTAACCAATTAAACGGAGATGTAGTATTTTCTTTTTTCACTCTATGTGTATTCTATCGTTCCCAAGACATATAAAAGAAGCAATACAGTTCAGTCTTGAAGTGGAAAGGCAACAACATTTTCTAGATAATTAAATTAAACTATAAGTGCTATTAATTTATTCATGCCACATACTTTGGTACAATTTAAAATAAAAATACTTGTGATATCGGAGACATTTGTTGTACATCTTATTTATATCAACAATCCTGAATAATTTGATTCTGAAGTGGTGATGATATGTTACATTCTTCTTCTTTAGCTAATGGCGACCCAAAAGATTTTAACGATATAAATGCAGCAAACGATGTTGAGATAGTATTGTCAATAAAAGGTAAGTCCGATTACCAATTTCAGGTAAAATTATGAGAAAATGTTTTATACCATTATGAAAGATATAATTATATAATTTCTTTACCACTGTCTTAATGAACAATACCAAATTGTGGGTGTCGTACAAAGTTGATAACTTCTTACTTTGAATAAAATATGACAGTTTGTAGAACAAACCATGCATGTAGCTCATAGTGCATTCCGATTGAGTTAATATGATGATGGTGATACAACTTCGAGTTTTAAGTCTATGGATATAAATACAACACCCATCTACAGAGATCTATGACAAAGGAGTAAAGGCAATAATGTCTTTATTTGACCCAAATACAATGAAAATTGAATAGTAACCATACATATTCTTAAATTTGTCCTTACAACACTAAGATACAAGGTGTTCAAAAAATAAAAAACAAATTTCACATTTAATGGGTTTCCATGGCAACACATCATGACTAAATTTGTATATTTGGTCAAATTTCTTGATTTTCCTTATGTTGCATCAACTTTTAAGTATATATTGGGTTTGAAAAGTACGTGCGAACATGTCAATAGTTATAATAAATATTCTCTTAGATAATTTTTTTGTTTCTCGGCTGCGCTCGATATCTCCCCTAAAAAAATAACGATGGAAAACTGCATAAATTCTGCAGTTTCTTCGTGTTCATGAAAACACTGCATATTATGACGTAATTGAGGCGTCATAGCACAAAAATTCTTATGTAATTCCTTTATATTTCTTGATTTTATGCATTTCCATACAATATGTGCAAATTTAAATAGTTCTCAAAAACTTTATTTTCTTGGGCAAAAACCGGGTCTTGATGCTCCTACTACTCCTTTGGTGTCACCGCAGTCTAATAAGACATACTTGAATGCTTTTGTATGCAGATCACGACAAATAAAACAAATATTCAATGAAATGGCTGTTGGTAATATATTCGGCAATCTGTAACCCTACGTTACTTACAAAAGACAAAATGCTTGGCTCATTTTAGATGAAATTCTTCTTCTTTTTTTGTTTTTTTTTTTCATCCTTTTCCTAATTCACTGATAAGGCAATCTGTTTTACATGTAGTACTTTTTCCCCGTGCAATTATATAAATACTTCTTAACCTTTTTTTTACTATTTCCTTATTCTAATCTAAAAGACTGATAAAATATATCAATTCAAATTTCTATCACTGAAAGATACATACATGTATACAATCAACGTAATTACAAATATTATGTTACAGACTCATATTTTGTCATGTATTTTGTAGCTGTCTATATGGTATGGGGTTTGTTCCTTGTTGAAAACTGGTGTCCTATTAGTGTTCCCATCTTTTTTCTTTGAATAGCTTTAGCATGGGCAAAGATTTTGCCTCTCCTTATTTTTATGTTCTTAACAACACGTTTTCTGATAGTTTTCCGTGATCAAATTATTTTTTTATTGAAATCATCTGTGTTATGAATGATGAACACATCATTAGCATTCTTCTCGGAAACATGTACGCTCTTCTCCCAACTAACTGTGCTTTTGTCCGTATGAGGCACACACATGCTCCTCAAGCGAAATGAATGAAAACGGACTATTTGTTAACTGCACCTTCAGCATGAAGATATCCTTTCCTATGAGATTAAATATCTATCTCATCTAACTAAAAATGATGATTGAATATAACATTGACAGATCCGTGTGAACTTCTGATATTCACCATTCCCCAAAAACCATTTCCCTAAACATCATTGAATGAGCCACGATATTGCCGAATTCCAAATAACCTATTATGCTTTTGTACAAATTCGATTTACAAAGAAACATTACGATTAAAAAGTTAAATACAACAAAATGTATTAGGAAGGTTTAAACCTCACAAATCGTTCCGTATTGCACCATGCACCTTTCCTTATAATACATTTCACGCTTTGCTGGGAAGTTTACAGAGCTATATGAATAAAGGAAATTAAAAAAAAAAAGATGAATGATACAACAACCCAACGACACGAATTACAAAAAATCTTCCAGAGGTCAACAAACAGTCTTCACATAGACACATTTATATTTTCCTTCAGACTGTGGCCTAATCCAATAGGTGGACATTGACTTTACGACAAAATAAAGAATATTTATTTTCTTTTATTAACTTTCCTCTTTTATGCAACCTCATTCCAGAAACATCATTCTGCATATTGAGTCAATGTCTCTTCCTTGATTTATGTTAAATATGATGATGTAGAACTAGAAGTGTTTACTATTAGGATGTCATTGAGGGAGTTCTCCACAGGTTTGTTGTTTGGAAAGTTGCGGTCAAACGCTAGTGTCCGTTTTATGTTTTGTGGACGGTCTGTTTTTTTTATTCTTTCGTATTATGTCAATTGAGTCACGATGATGACAATACTATTTCCTTTCCTCCTGCGATTTCTCAATTTTGATGGATAGTCGGCATAATTGCTTATTTTTTCTAATATATAATTACCACTATACTGATGGTGGCGTTTTGTCCCTCGGAACCTATTCACTCAGAAGTTGATATCTTTGTATTGAATTGATTTACTGACCATTTGTAAATACAATTCACAGTTTTAAAGCAATAAAATGTTTTACAAAAAATTAGGTTTATTGCATTGGCATAGTTGGTTTGTTGGCTGCTGAATTATGCCTATTTGATTTTTAAATTTGATGCTCTTAGTTATTTATTAAAGGGTGTTTTCCCTTCGCAATGGTGTCGAGGTTTCTCTTAGAAAAAAACAGTTTTGGTCATCATATCTAGAATTGTTGTATACATTATGTATGTGTTTTGTAGAAAAGTATTATTTTCCTACCGACCTTAACATAACATTTATTTAAAAGTACAAACCAAAATGTTTGTGTACTACAAATATTATTTGTCTTATGCTACAATATGCTTCAATGTTGATATTTCTATATATGTAAACATCAGACATACTTTGTACGGAAATACAACTTAGTTAATCAAAAATGTGTATTTTTTTGTACTCTAAATAAAAATAAGAAGATGTGGTATGAGACAACTCTTCACTAGAGACCAAATGACGTAGAAGTTAGCAACTATAGGTCACCGTACGGCCTTCAACAATGAGCAAAACCCATACCACATAGTAAGTTATAAAAAGCGCCGAAATGACAAATCTAAAACAATTCAAACAAGAAAACTAACGGCCGGATTTATATACAAAACAATAGACGAAAACATATATGATATACAACAACAAAACAACCACTTAATTACAGACTTACATTAAAGGAAATATTTCATATCTGTTTAGAATTATACTAAGAAATAAATCCTATTGTATACTTTACCAAAGCTGCTGAAAGCGATTGTATTTTTTTTATCATTACTGAAATTATCTATAATTGTTTCTTCAGATGGCTGTGACTTTGTATCAAGTACAAGCAAACAAAACAGTTGTCCAGGTAAGAATACAAGCTTATCGTTAAAACTTTGTATTCTTATTTGTTACTGTTCAAACATTTGAGTTTTTTACACATCTAGCTACTGAATCAAAGCATAAAGACAGGAAATAAATTGTAGGTTCTCATAGGTTTACATTACGTTCATTTATTATATGTTTTGAATACAAATATTTTTTAAACATCAATGGTCCTGCCTCCATTTCAGCAGATCGTGTGTTTGATTTCTAATTGGGTCAAGACTTTAAAAAATATTTTTTGCTTCTTTGCTAGGTATTCGATGGGAAAGAGTAAAAGTCGGGCCGAGTTGGAATAATGTGCATACGTAGGATGACATGTACTGTGAATTTTTTGAAACTTTGTGACATAGCACGTTAAAAATCATGGCCAGCGTGACGGTCTTGTTCAGAAACGGGTTCTTTTTCATATATTATCATGTTATCCTCCTGAATGTACAAAAATAGTAATGCATTGTTCCAAACAGAATGTCGTATTGAAACGTTGTGATTGTTTGTTATTCAACGTTTATCATTATTCTATGACTATGCCAGAGTGCAAAATTATAACAATCTTTACTTTTCTTGATTAGCTATTAAATAATTCACAGTCTAATACAACGATCGATAGAAGAATGAAGATGTATGTTTGCTTCTTTCTTTTCTTCCCTGATTGTTTGATTGTTTGGAGGTAAATGTGGGACAACACAACAGATTGACGTACGGTCGGACAAGGGGGGAGGGGGGAGGGGGCGTTATGAATATGGTCTTTGATAGGTTAAGGAAAGGGTGCTTTGTGTCGTTTCTGCGCGATAAACTGAGGACAGTTTAAGCATCAATCGTATTCAGATGTAAATATATTGTATGGTTAAGTTTATTATGTCATTTTATGTTCAGTAGACTAAGTGATGGCCCTTGATCATTTTAACAATTAATGATACTAATAAATGTAAGGTAGCCCCGTTTTGCTGTCACTTGTTTTTATATATATATTATGACGAGAAGGAGTCAAATTAAATTAAAGATTGATTAAAGATAAAATGAACCTTTTTTAATGGAAAAGCTGGGGAAACCGTTAATATCGTCGTTCTACAGCGTCTTCCATGCTGTATGCTTTCATTCATTTACACGCAATAAACTAAACTTCGTTACAATTTCATGTATAAATAGTATGAACAAAACTGCGTTACTTTAATCAATATTGGTTGAATATTCCTTTTTTACATGTTTTAAATTGAATGCATGCAAATTTTCCTTTATGGTAATTATACCTCGAATTCAATGTAATATATAAATGTTATTCAATTAGAACTATAATTCCAATCTGTTGATATGTGGATTCAAACACAAAACCCTTTCGTTTACTCAATATCACAAAAAGATTGAATGGTGACAATATTTACACATCAAATCAGTACTATTTTATATTTTTCTTTATGCATGTATGCATCAATTTTGTTTAGAATATCAGAATAGTGCCTTTTTTTTAAATATATTCTTTTCCGCGATTTGAGCCCATTTTTATAGGTTACGTTCCCTTGCTCCGATTTCTTTAAAGTAATACCACGTGTTACTGAGTGAAGATTTCTTTTCTGCAAAGAAAAAGGATGATTTGAAAATTCATTCGTATTTTTATCCAAAACAATACCTTAAGAGTACAACTGTCTCTCTTATTCTAAAGTAAATTAGCACTTAATAAACCTATTAATTTTTTGAATTTTTTTATAAAGTGGAATAGCCAATATCCTTTGAATATTTATAACACGTTTTAAAAATGTCTTTCAATCTTTAATAAACGTGTTAGTTGCACAACTATATGTTGTACTTTAAATTCGTATCAGTTTCATGTCGTATTTCTAAGATTATTACCAAATCGTACATACTAACAGCTCATAAAAAACTTCATTTAAAAAGATTTTCACAAATTTTAATTATTTGTATAAATAATGAAGAAGAAAACTTCCAACCATTAACAAATGTTATCGGAAGTAAAACTACATAAATTATTGATGTCCTTTGACGCAAACTGCAATAACATTTTTTAACTAATGGATGTTTGAGAAATTGTTAAATAAAATCTTTTTAAAGTAAATAACATGTGTTTTACACTCTTTTATATTAAGATATAGTCATCTATCGGATTGTATCCCTATAATAGAAACAAAATCAAGGAATATTGGACAAACTACTTTATTTTAATTTGCCTAGGATATGGAACTCCAAGCGTTCATAATGCAGATACATATATCGAAGTTCCAGCTGGTGAAAGTGTCACTATTGACTGTACATACACCGCATATGGTCTGGCAACCAAAGTTGAATGGACATTCGTAGACAACTCTGGTGGTTCATATACCATAACCGATGGCACAAACGTATCTAAATACAGTGGGTCTACAGTACATATTCCTTCATTGACGGTCAATAATTTTGCAATCTCAGACGAGGGTATATACGCATGTTCAGCAGAAAACAGCTATGGTAGACGTACCGGAGGAGATATTCAACTTGTGATAATTCAAGGTAAGATACAATAACGCCCTTTAAAAGATAATTCCTCATTCAAAATTGCAAAGAGTTTGTTTTTGCAATGAAACCTTTTATTTAGAGTGTTATTGTCTAGAAACATATAAAAGGAATGATAAGCTGACCTTTTTCACAGCCATTCAAATATGTTGCTCACTTATTGGAAGTTAGTTGACGATATAAAATTAAAATAGCATTTCATGAGAAATTATCCAGTAAAAATAAACAATTAAGTATTGATATCTGGTATCAGAATTTTACAGAATCAATGAAAAATTGGGTCCATTGTCGTTTTTTTTATTTTGTTATACAACACAGCTGGTAAGTACAGTGCACCAAATAGTTTTCACGAACGAGCGATTTAATTTGCGATCTTCACCAATAGAAAAAATAACACGAATAAAAAACGTCTCGAATATGTCAAAGTTGAATGAATACACTAAAAAAAGTTGGAAAAGCTTAGTACTCTAAACTAACATTGAGTGAGCACATTGAAAGATGCAAGAACGGACGATATAAGATGATTCCTTTGTACATGATTCCGTTATCTTCCTATTGTAGAAGTATGCTGTTCTTATTGTTTTTGCGTCATGTAACGTTTCTTTTGACAAAACAACATTCAATTGCTGGAAGATTGTCCATAGAGACATGCAAAAGTTAGCTGGGATATCATAGACAATTTTATTGTGTTGTGTTGTGAATTATATAGCACTTAAACCGTTCTTTACGTCGAGGTTTGACTTTTTTAAATGAGTTTTTTTTAAACAATTTAAGGTTACATTCAATAACTAATAAATCCTGTTGGAACATGGAATATCTTACTCGTTTCTTTTAAAGCCTCAACAGTTAGTCTTACAGAGACAGCAAGTGTAAACCTGAAAATCACAACTGTACCATTATCAACACACGATAGAACTTCAATGCAAATAATTTCTACGAATGATAAAACGACAACAAAAGATGCATCAACATCTAAAAGGACAACAACCGATATTATGTCAACAACAAGAAGAATCACGACTGATGCTTTATCAATTACCACAGAAACGACCAATGAAGACATCACGAGTAAACAAGCAACAACTGAATCCCTTTTATCAGAGAACCATGCCTCTTCAATATTACCAGGAATGTCAACAGAAAACATCGTTGGTAAGAGAGGAAAGAAATTTTATCCGTTGCTTTTAATTTTCATTGTGTTAAAAAAAACATGGGTCAGTGAAATTTTGAGTCAAATTTTCCCGTCTGTACAAATAAAAGTCTGTGAAAAGTATGCATTTGATTTGGTATTAAATTTGTACATTTGATTAACCAAAAAATAAACGAATAGCTTTACCTCCTCAAAGTTAATTCATATTAACTTAACTGCATTAAAGTAAATTGCTCATGTGTTTCCAATATTCGTAGCATTGATTTGAGTTATATCCTAACAGTATATGACGGCTTTTATTGGGACCGTTAGACGTAAGAGCGGTGTCCTTATAGAAAATATGGAAATTGATAACACAGACTTTGGCCTCAAGGTTCTGTCTCGAAATTGCATTGAATCCATTGTTAAATTCTTTTTTTTTTGCAAACAGCAAAATCAAAAATGTAAATAGAAGAGATTCTTATATATTCTTACTTTTAAATATAACAATAATGGATACTAAGTGTATTCGAAACAAGTAATGCATGTACAGTTAAACCTACAGTTCGTACGTTATTTCAAATTTTTTTTTAGCGTTTTGTATACATGTGTAAATTGTGACTTATTTGTCTATTGTACTATATTCGTATATGTTGTAGCAGAAGAACAATGTGTGTGCAGTTGTGAATATAAGGCACGACTAGAATATTGGAGAAATCAAACTGTTACCAACTATACAATGGATGAACTTCGAGTTATTCTATCACCTAAACTAAAGGAAATGGAGGAGTTGCTTAAGGTGGATAAAAAAAATATTTCATCTTATCTCAACACATTTACAAGTGCTCCTGATGACAGAGTATCCTCACAATCTATAGGAGCGGGTATGATTTTTCTGCTAGTGTCATTCTTCTGCTGTTTCGTATTGTTGGATCTATCCTCTATTCAAAGGCATGTAAATACATGTAGAAGAATTAATAAAAATACATAGTACAGAAAATGAAAGTTCTGAATGGTTCATTTGTTAACAGAAAACATTTTTGATATTGTCTTCTTACATTATATGATGTATTTACTTCATAAAAAAATAGGTTTTGCCTGCAAGTTATTGTCGTAAATTATGTTTTTATTCAATTAACAGAACAAAGTTACATACAGGGTGAAGCTGGATGCTTTAAAGACAACAACACCGGATAAAAATGCTTAGTATTAGATGCATTTGCATGTGTCTGTCAGAAATGTTGAGGCTTTTGTTTTTTTCTGTAGCAGGAAGAGCAAATTCATGTTACATGTAACAGATAGTATCTCACTAGAGACGTATTTTTGCAGTCTTGAATCTTCAGATACCAGAATAGTCGGTTGATCCGTAAATAAAATGACTGTGTTCTATTCCCTTTCGAGACAATTCGAGTCTCGATTTGCATGACGGGTGATATTTGAATAGCAGTAGACGCTTGGTGAGGTATCATTAGTTCAGTAGTCATTACTTCAATACTGACATGATTTATAACACACCTTTCTTAAATTGTCCGTTTCTAAATTTCAAAGTTATTAAGAAACTAAGGTTTTAACTCCCTCTGGCAAGGTTGACCTTAGATTAATTTGGCTATTACCTTTATATCCTTTTTGGTTATATAGCTCTGAAACTGTTTCGGTTCTTATGCATCCTTGGCTTTCAAATATTTTCGGCTTTGAGCGTTCCTGATGGAGGCTAATCCAGAAAATTGCTTTGGATTCAAATTTGATTAACGAGATTTGAAAATTGGCTAATTACTGTATCCATTGTCAATCAATAGTCTATATATTAAGTGAATAAAATATTTAAAAAAACTATTAAATATATATGAATCACAAGAAATGTGGCAAATATTGTAATAAGGAAGCTACCAAAACGTTCAGCATTCGTTTTTCGACAATGAACAAGCGTCAATCCAATAAATCGAGAACAAATTTGTCCCGATACTAAATTGCATTGTTTTGCATGATTTCAACAGAAACCACCACAAATTTCTACAAAAGCCAAGTCAGGAATATGACAGTTGCTTTCAATTCGTTTGATGTGATTTTTAAGGGACTTTCCGATTTGAATTTTCCAAGGAGTTCGGTATTTTTGTTATTTTACTTTTATTTTTATTTACGGACCCATATTCAGATTGGTGATTGAAAGATTTTATCTTACGTTCAGTGGTAAATATGTCATACATATTCGGATTATTTTAATACCGTCAAATGATTCTTATAACAAGAACCTAAAGCATTTTGCATCTTTTATTCATGACATTGAAATTGCTTGTTGTACAAATTATACAGGTATAAAGTCTACCTGGGACTATTATACTAACAATATATCATGTCTCAGAGTCTACCGATTTCAAATTGAACTTCATTGTTTCAATAAGATAGAAATATTGGCACTCTTAAATTTATTGTATTAAATTTTTCGCAATACAATTCACCAAAAGTTAAACAAATCCCAATAATTCCAATAACGGTTCTTTAGTTTCAATAAAAAGGAGACATATTTGTTCATTTAACAAAAATCTACAAAAAGAAGCAGCTGTATTTATATAATATTGTTGTTACTTTACTAAAGCTCTTTGTTCTCATTCGGCATGTCTACTGCTATTCAACAGTTTAAAATGATTTTCAATAAAAAGAAGAAATAATGTTACTGTTACAGACCTTCAAAAATTCAAATTGACTACATGCACTATACACGTATGGACGATACACGCACGGTGAATGCACGGTGAATGAACGATCCACGATCCACTCACGATGAGTGTTACACGGAGGATTAACGAAAATTGAAAAATGAATGTTGAACCCGCGATACACGCACGGTGGATGATGAATGATGAACCCACGACAGACGCACGGCGAATGATGAATGATGAACCCATGATACACGCACGGTGAATGATTCATTGACGAATGACTGATGAGCGCTTAACACACGATTAAAAAAGCCATTCTATTTAGAATTGCATTTAAAATTGACATATGATAATTAAAATGTATAGGATAAGGGTATACAAATTTTAAATATCGCGCTTTCAGTGTTGATTTGTCGGCAATTTTAGTAAACATTCCATGTCGTAAATAGATTAATTGTGGTATTTTTAGTGTATTTCCAATATCAATGAGTGTTGTCAAATTGTAAAATTTCGGGGTAGGGGCAGGAGGATTTTTTTATTTATTTTCATTGATGTACACAACTGTTTGTTTGTGTTGCATTATATTCATTTTCATCCTTTCTTATGAAATTTTATTTAACTTCAGCCCTGACCAACCTGCTCTTACCGGGCCAGTGTATTTGATCATGTTTAAAATCCCCTTCCCCCTGAAAATTAAATGGTCGTCCTCTAAACTTGGTTTGCACCTGAACAAACCCTGTCCTTTTTTTTAGAAACGATTACAGATTAAGTAATCGCTACATCACACAGGAATGACTCATATTAACAAATAAGTATGTAACACAAGGTGATTTTTTTGTTGTGAAGCCATTTTGTTTTCTGATGATATAAGCACAAGCATTTATTTTTTTTGGTGCGCGAAAATTTGCTTAATATTTCATTGAACCAAATACAATTGTTTAAAATTATTACACGTGTTCATGTCACGAGAAATCAATAACTACTGATCATGCTGATGACAAATATAATGACCAAATAAACAAAAAATATTTAAACATTTCTGCCGCTTCGAATTCTTAGTTTGTTAAAATCCTACCAGAAATGCTTTCAAAATAGTTTTATAGCAAAAAATAGTACGTGATGAATTGTTAATTGCCATTCACTGTATAATTATATAGCTTGGCATCTACATATAATCAACATATTTATTATTATCACACCTCTGGATCCGTAGGAGGTTAGTAGATTTCATATGGGTATCATGATGTCACGTCTACTATTAATGGTGATGTCATCGATTAATCTATTTGTATTCTCGCTTATTTTTATACATAACTTGGCAGGAAAAGTCCAATGTGTGATAAAGTTGTTATACGGTTCACTACTGACCCCCTACGGATTAACAGAGACTTAATAAAATCCATAGGAGATTCGGCCTTTCGGCCTCATCCCCCCCCCTTATGAATTCTCAATGGATTCATAGTGGGTCAGTAGCAATCCATATAATTTATAATATATCATTCCGCTTTGTTATCATGCTTATTATTTATCAAAATACTTTATTATCACCTTCTGACATATTATTTCTATTTAGATTTTATGTAATTTTTCTAATATTCAAAAAAATGTTTTTGAAAAAAAATAATTTTATGTGTCTTGGCTCTGCACTTTCAGTCATGGCTCATTGACTTTGAATGTTTTCCATAGTTAAAATGTTAAAGTATTGCCATATTAAATTTAACATTTGCTTTATACTGTCAAAATTACACAAAGGCTAGGTATATCTTTATTAACAGTTTATCAGATTTATGAGTATAATCCCTGAAATCAGGGAGTGATTATGACATGAAAACTAAATTCAATTTTGAAAGGTCATTTCCTTTCAAGGGGCCTCGGTGCCCGAGTGGTACAAGAAGTTACTACTTTAATCACTAGCCAGTCAACACTGAGGTTGTGAGTTAGAACCCCGCTCGTGCGAGTGCACTCGACTCCAATCTTAATTGACTAGGATTGTCAGTTTTTCTATCGAAGGTCGGTGGTTTTCTCCGGGCACTCCGGCTTCCATTCTCCACCAATAAAAACTGGCAGCCACGAAATAGCCCAAAAGCGGTGCTTAAAAATGGCGTTAAAAACACAAAAAATCAAACCAAATCAATACCTTTCATCCAAGTTATATTTCAGTAGTGGTGTTTTGGGGTGAAAGTTGTCTATTACATAGTCTAAACACTGATAAGGACTTTTAATA